GCCTAAGAAAAAAGTCCTTGGTTTGATTTAGATCAACTTAGTGCCAAAACAAAAATCAAATTGGCACAAGAACTGTCTAGTGAGATAAGTATGGAACGTGTAGTGATATAGTTGCAAGTATGAATTCTGTTTCCACTACTGACTTGGGATGCTGGGAGTGTTCTGGTTCTCTGGATCTTGGGTTTCTAATCTGTAAAATGGCACTAGTTTATACCTACCTCATAAAACTGTTACGAGGAACGCTGAGATAGCGTAAGTAAGTTGCTTGGCCCAATGCTTGACACAGTACGTCCCTGATAAATAGGATTTCCAGGCAAAATAGAGAAAGGTGGTTTTAATAACAAAGAATCCCATTTTATTTGAAAAACGATAATAGAGAAAACTTTCCAGAATTTTAATGAGCCAAGGATATACCAAATTCAATAATAATAATAAAAAATTACCTCAAAGGACTAGTAAGCTTGATTTATGTTTTCTTTACCAGTCACTTTTATTTCATAAACCCGATGTTTCCATTAAAATGCCATTAAATAAAAGCAGGGTTTTACAGTATTTGCGATAACTTAGATCTCGATGTGATCATTGGAATTAGCTCCAGCAAAGATACCGTTTCTCGTTGTTTTATTCCATCTTCTAGACCAGCTACATCTTTTACTGCCTTCTTCCGGTTGAGTGAAACACTCCCCCCGTATTTGTGGTTTTGAGTCCATGGAATTGGTATCTGTGGCTTTGAAGGCCCTTTTCATCTTGAGCTTATTAATTGGGATTCAGGAAGGAAGGGAAATGGTAGTCAGCCAGTAAACACAGCAGCCCTTGAAGGAAATGTGAGGGGCTCACGTTAAAGAGAAAAAACCCTCGTTCTGTGCAGCTCCCGGAGTAGGGCAGGGAGCGGGCTGAGGACACTGGTAGGAGACATTCTCTGACATGCACATCATTGGGAAAACTTCCCTAGCCCGAGAGGTCCCCTGGAGGGGCGGGGTCCCCATCACCTGGGCAACCCTGGCCGGAGGCCACCAGTACCCTGGGCCATCTGCTAATTAAAGGAGCCCCTGGGGCTAGTGGCCTTATCTGCCTGGAATTAAAGTTTCTCCTCTGAAATGGCACTGTCATGGAAATGTTCTGGAACTAGAGGTGATGGGTACACGACATTGTGAATGTGCTAAATGCCACAAAGTTGTACACTTTAAAGTGGTTTTTTTTATGTTGTATACAGTAGACCACATCCTAGGAAATAGATGACATCATTGGACAGAATGACCTCCAAGGCTGCTACCAGCTGTGACATGTTATGTTTCTGGGAGGGATGACATTGCCTAGGGACTGACCACCATGTCCCATTTGGTCAAAGACAGGCCACACAGACATTCAGCTGAGGGGGTGGCTGATTGAAATATGATTCGGGCTTAATACCTAATATCGCACAGCCATGAGGAATTACGCTCCCGAAAATGTATCTAATGCCAGGAGAAGACGCTCATGATGTCATTACAAAGAAGGTTTATGCTATGTGGAATGTGATCCTAACCTTACAAACATTGGTAAGAAACCAAAACACAGTGGTGTTTATCCCTGACCAATGGATGACAAATGATTTACATTCTTTTATACATTTCTCAAAATGCCTACAAAGAGCGTGGATAACTATTATAATCTAAAAACACTATTTAAAACACAACGTAAATAACAGTACATTGGATTCTTTGACCCCACCCCCACCCCCACCCCTACCCTGTGAATCCTGCTGCACTGTGGAGCAGTGGAGTGGCAGTGGGTGAGCTGGAAGTCCTGGTTGGAAGGACAGATGTGTAATTCTGGTTCAGCCATGGCAAACCTTGCTGCCTCTTGGTGTTTTCACCTGGAACAGGGGCATAAAAATAACAGTCACGTCACAGGGCTGTGCGAAGAGCGGATGAGACAATGAAGATGGGGCGGCTGATTGGGAAGAGTTCTGAGCTCTCTCCGTCGGCACTGAGCGCATGCAAACTGTACATTTCCAAATCTTCCCTCTAACAAAAACTTAATGAGTGCTTCTAAAGTCAGTGATTGCCACTTAGCCAGGAATTTAAGAGCTAATCTCCAGAAACACTGCTACTCTTTCCTTAACTGTCTTCCTCTAACCTTCATGTGAAAACATTTCATTTCATCTGAAAAGTAACCACCTGACTTCTATTTACTGTTCTTGAACTCGAGATGATGCTGAAACCGGCTTGGCTGGAGGGAGATCGCATCCCACCCGGGAAAGGTGTTTCTCCCCAGGAATCAGGCCTCTCCTTGGTGGGCAAGGCTTTGTTTCCCCAGAACCATCCACACAGGGCTGAACTTTAAAAGAGGTTTTCCTGGGGCGCCTGGGTGGCTCAGTCAATTGAGCATCTGACTCGATGTTTGCTCAGGTCATGATCTCAGGGTCGTGGGATCAAGCCCCACATGGGGCTCTGTGCTCAGCAGGGAGTCTCCTTGGAACTCTCTCTCTCCCTCTTCCTCTGCCCCTCCTCCGGCTCGATCTCTCACACACATTCTCTCTCTCTAAAATAAATAATCTTTAAAAAAAAAAAAAAAAGAAAGAAAGAAAAAGGTGGGGTAGGCAGTTCTGGTTCTGTCTTTGTTCTGTCATTACTTTGAGACCCGTGCCAAGACCCAAGACCCACACGGAAGGATCTGTAAACAGAACTCACAGCCCTTGACTCACACAAGGGATTTCTCTTTCTTAGGGGCTGACTCCTTGACCCAGAATGAAGAGAAGACTCTTGGGACAGGACTGTCAAGCTTGCTGTTTCTCTATCAAACCTATTAGGGAATAAAAAGACCTGACGGTGTACAAAATATCATAACCTTGGTATTTTCTCTGAGCCCCGCCTGGCCTTTAAAAGCAAACTCCCAATTCAACAAATCCAATGAAACATCTCCCAAGCACCTGAAGCGATCCATGTTGAAACCGAGTTGAATGACAGAGAGAGAGTTGGATGAGTTAGGGTTGAATGAGATGTGAGGGAGGGATCGGCGTCTAGACAAATGCCGGGCCGCTTGGGCAGAGGAACCGGGGAGCAAGTCTGAGAAACAGGAGCGGGACCTGGCAGAGAGTCATCAGCACGATCAAGGAGACATCTGAGCTGGCTCTGGAAGTGGAACAGAAGTGTGCCAGGCAGCCAGGGCCAGGGGAAGGCCTCAAAGGCCAAGGAAAGCAGGTATAAAGATACCAATATGGCCCGACTTCGTGACTGATGGCGTGCTTGGAAGTGGGAGTGCAGGGAATGAGGCCATTTAATAAAGGAAAGAGTAGAAAATGGCCTTGGTGTTGAGCTCAAGACATGGTTCTAAATTTCCTGCCGTTGGCCAGTTGGGCAGTATTTACCGACCAAGTACAAAGCGCTCAGGGATCTGTCTCAGGAGTGGATGCAGGTTATGGATGGAAATGGGGACGGTTCCCAGACCAGCTGTGGGCGGCACAGTGGAGGGGGAGGTGTGTGAGCTCCAAGGGCAGAGGGAGGCACCAGAGGGAAGAGAGCTGGGTGTCCAGTAAGCTCCGAGTCTCTGGCCCAGACCAGACCAATGGGCAGCGGGGCAGGGTGGCAGGGCGTGCCCAAGGCCTTTGAGGGTATAGTGTGTCTAGGACAGTGATAGGAAATGAGGAGGATGGAGGCGAAATCGAGAGGGGCCTCGAGCGCCAGAGTAAAGGGTATGGACTTCACTGTGGGCACTTGGGAGGTCAGTGGAGAGTTGTCGTAAGGGACAACCCAGCCAGGTCTGCTTTAGAAGAGGTGCCTCGAGGGGTGGTTGGGAGGCTCAGTCGATTGGGTGTCTGACTCTTGATTTCAGCTCAAGTTGTGATCTCAGGGTCGTGGGATCGAGCCCAGCATCGGGCCCCCATGGAAGCTGCTTGGGATCCTCTCTCCCTCTCTCTCTGCCACTACCCTCCCACCCCAACCCTGCTTGCGCTCGCTCTCTAAAAATAATAATAATAATAATAATGATAATAATAATAAGATTCTAAAGTAAGAAAAATAAAAAAGAAGAGGGGCCTCGGTGCCAGTGTCTATGGGTCTATGGATGGGAAAGGCTGGAGGCTGTTGGTATAGTCTAGGAAAGAGTTTACAAGGGCCAGCAGGGGAGAGCAGAGCTGGTTTCAAGAGATATTGAGGACTTAGGACTGGTGGCAGAGGCAGAAGGAGAGGGAGAGGAGAACTGTCATTTACCCTGACATGTCCTCCTTGGGTAGCTGGCAGATTGGGGGTGGTGTCCAGGGAGACGGGGAATGTAGACTTGAGGTGAAGGAAACGGACATTTCGGTCTGGGGGTCTGGGGACATCCCGAAGCAGCAACAGGTGGTAGTTGGACATGTGGGTCTGGAAGTGAAAAGAACATTCCAGACCAGAGCTGAGTATGTGAGTGTTATTAGTTGTGGAATTCTCTTGAATACCAGAAGAATTTCGAAATAAAATAACCAGATTCAGGAATCACAACACTATAATCATTTTTTTGGTATGAGTTCCAAATAAGAAAATAGTTAAGCCCAAAAACATAATTGTGCCTATTCCTAGAATTGGATAGCTGATGTATCTTTGCAAATTGTTCATTGAACTGTGCTTCTGGCTTCTTGCCAGCCCCCAATGAGATTTTTATATTTCTTAATTATTCAATTACTACCCACAAGTAGGAGTTTGAAATCAAACCTAGGCTGCTCCGTAACAGTATTCTCGTGATTCATGAGTGCGGTAAAGGAGAATGTCCGTATTGGGAATCCGGGGTGAGAGAACAGAGGAAATGTAAGCTTCCAGTCCTGACTCTGTCCTGGGTTCGAGTCCCGGCCTTGTCCCACGCTAGCTGTGTGAGCTTGGGGACCTTGCTTCTCTGATTCTTCTGGCTGTACAATAGAAATAGAGCGTTCACACCTCCCGAGGTTGCGGTGAGTATAGAGAAAGGAGAATGGCTGAGGGAAGGTGCTCTACATACGGTCACGCCCCCTCCAGACGCTGGTCGTGTCCCTCATTGCTTGTGTTCTGCAGGTCTCAGAAGCTTAAGCAGCCACGAGCTGTGAAGGAAGAGCCTTCTGACAGCGAGCTGGCCAGCGCCTCCGACGCCAACGCCAATCCCGAAGCGCACCTGCCCTCCATCTGCCTCAAGCAGGTGTTCCCCAAGTATGCCAAGCAGTTCAACTACCTGCGCCTGGTGGACAGGATGGCAAATTTGTTTATCCGGTTCCTGGGGATCAAGGGGACAATGAAGCTGGGACCAACAGGCTTTCGGACTTTTATCAGGTCAGTGAGACCAGCCCCTCTGGCTTGGGATTCGGGCAGGGTGCAGTGGAGCCCCACATCTGGCTGGTCCCATCTCCCCTGACTGCTCCTGGGGGGAGCCCATCTGTGCTGCGAGGTTGGTGCCCCGATTGGGGTCAGATTGCTCTGGAGGCTGGCCCCGTCCCCTCCTGTTTGCTGAGTGAGTTCATGAACGTGACAGATGGGACGACATGAAAACACAAGGCGGTGCTACCTTGAACCAGGTCCTTAAACCACAGAGAAGTCATTGTCCCCTGGACCCAGACAGACCTTGTAGCTCTTAAGCTGGGGTGATGTTCTCCCAGAGGTATGTGGCTGCTTGCGAACGCTTATGAAGCCACAGCAAAGAAACAAGGCACATCTGCCCCAAGTGTCCATTTCAGGAGAGAAAAGTTAAATAATTCAGTTGATAAATAATTTAATGTATTCATCCTAATATAAAGATAACCCGATTGTATCATCGAGTACGATACAAAATCTGCATGAAGTGTAAACATAAGACATGAGATAAAGCAAGTGGGTTTTTGCCACAAAATAACCCCTGCCTCTTAATCATTCATCCACTTGCCTCTACTCTCCGGGGCACTTTGGGGCGGCACAGGAGTAAGTCCCCGAGACAGTACTGACTAGGCGCGTAACCCTGGGGCAAGTTAGGGACCACCTCTGAGTCTTGGTGACCCTACAAAATGGGGAGGAAGCCAGCTACACACCAGGATTGGGTGTCCCCCCACCTCGAAGAAGCTCTCTGCCGGCATTCGGGGCTGCTGTTCTGCTCCTCGTTGGTTTTCATATTTCTACCTTCCACCTCAAAGTCACATCCTTTGTAGTTTTATTCACTAAAGCAAATAATTAGAAGCCTTGAATTGGAAACATTCTGTCGTATAATTTTCTCCAAATGAATTCTATGAACTCCAACTCTGGCTCTCTCGGCTCCTGATGGGACAGCACAGAGAAGACACGGCCAGTGTTCAGAAGAACCGGTAGGAATCTTTGCTGTTTCAGGGTTAGGAATTACACGGTGATCTGGAAAAGGCCTCTGTGTCCTCTTGGGGTGAGAGGGCAGAGGAAAGCCCAGTGGAAAGAGCCCAGGCTTTGGGTCTGGCTCCTGAGTGAGGCGTGTCACTTAATAGCTGTGTGGCTTTTGGGCAAACCTCTGGCCTTCTCCAAGTCTCAGTTCCCTCATCTGCACATGGGACTAATCCCTCCTGCCTATCAGGGTTATTATGAGGTCAGGATGTAACACATCCTGAAGCACCTGGCCCAGAGCCTCATTGACAGGAGCTATTTGCTAAGTGTGTGTGTGGGGGGGGGGTCTTGTGATGATTATTTCCATTAAGCAGCAGGAATTCTCAACGAAGTCAAGAGACACGTGTTGTTACTTCCCTGAGAATACTACCCAATACCTTCTGACTTGTTTGGGAATTGCATCTGTCTCATAGTAAAAGATACCCATCTGTAAGTGCTTTAAAATAGATTAATTTTCTCTCATATAGGAGGAAGTTTGGCATGGGGGTGTTCAAGGGCTGGTTAATGACTCCACAATGTGATCACACCCCACTTCCTGTCTTCCTGTCCGTCCATCCTAAGCATGGGCTTTTCAAGCTTCAGGCTTGCCTTGATGTCACAAGATAGCTGCTCAAAATCCAGCCATCATGGTCGAGTTCCAGTCAGGAAGAAGGGAGAAGAGAGATGTCAGATGCTTCCTTCTAACTCCTAATAACCATCTACTGAAACATAAGAGATGAGGGGGGGGGGGAACAGTGAAGATTTGGAAAAAAAATAACATAGTGAAAGAATCACAGTCTCAGCTGCCTCCAGGGGTTGGGCCAGAAGCGGAGGCCAAGGGGTGGATTCTGGAAGGATGGGGAGGGCCAGGCTATGACAGCCTGAGGAACACATGCCCCAGCTAAAGGAAATGCTGTCCTGGGGACGTATCACCAGAGCTTTTGAGTTTTCAAGAGAAGCTAGAAATGCTGATTTTTATGTAAAATCTCAACACATGTCTATCAATGTGGCGATTCAGAAAATAATTTTTAAACACTGTGTGGGTTCGAAGTGTGACTGCCCATAGAAACCACCAGTGTGTGAGCACTGGCAGGAGAGGCAAGGGACATACTGAGAGGACTACTCTGTTCACACCCGATTTTGAGAAGAAAACAGAGCTGAGAATGGTTCTAGCAAAGGGGATTTCTAAAACGCTCTCAGATGGGAACTGGATGATGTCGAAAACATCGCTACAAATCTGTCCATGTATGATAAGCTTTATGATTCTTTCCATCATTTTTTCTCTATAATTAAAGGCATTTGCATGTAAAACTGGTTATTGTCAGGTTTGAGCCCTTAGGTCTTACAGCCATCATTCCCAGTCTGCTGCCAGCACTGTCGGTGGGAGTGGCAGTGACCATAGCGACCGCGAGCAAGGAGAACAATGTCTTCAGGTGGGGAGTAGACAGCCAGAGCAGGACTTGGACAGTGAACCCCTCTCCCCTCCCTCTATACCCTCCCAGTCAACGTCCTGCGTAATTAAAGATATGGGAAGAAGTGGAGAAGATGTTGCACAACTGTTAATAGATTTTTTTTTCCTTTTGAAATATACTGACAAATCGCAACAGCAACTTAATCGTAAAAGATGATATTCTTTGCACTTGGATTTATCGAAGTAAGTTCAGTCTTGCCAGCTAAATTTAACAGCAAGCATTTTCTCGTGCTAACAACCATTCTCTCTCTCCTTTCCACTTCAGTTTAAATTTTGCTTCATTATGAATTAATAATATTTATGCCATATGTTAAATTGAGCCAAGTGCCCTTCTCTGGAGCACGGCACAAGAGACATATTTGCTGGCGAGATATATACTCCTCTCCGGTCTCCCACGCAAACAGCAGAAGCTGAACTTGGCTTTCACCTGGACGACCCACTCTTTTTCTCCGAGTTCCTTAAAGAGAACTGGAGGGAACAAAATAAACATCCGACCGAATTTATTTTCAGTGACCATCTCTCATAGTGTGCTGTGTAGATCAGCAGTTTTAGGAGTGAATTATGCTAATGCCAGTCTGGCCACATTCTATTTTTCTTTTCTACCAAGAAATGAGAAATAATGAACTGTCGTTCCCTTGTCTAGACTTAACTTGTTGAACCAGCTTTTCGTGCCGTTTTCTCAAGAGGCACATAATAGTAGCACATATTACCATGAATTAAGCGCCTCTTTTCTGTCTCTCTCTCTTTCTCTCTCTCTCTCTTTTTATGTCATAATAATTCCTGGGGCGTGGAGACTTCTCTTTCTCTGAGAAATAGAAATTAACTGATTCTTCAGTTTGACAGCTTTCTTTGAGAGAAATGCGTTTTTGCCAGTTTCCTTCCATTGGATTACTAATCTGGGGGCCATTCTATGTAATTTACTAAGAACACGTTCTGCAAACGTAGCCTCTTATCAGGATCCAACATCAGTCTGCACGTGCTGCATTTCCCGTTTCCACAGCGGGCAGATTAAACCATTTGCCAGAACCAGGTTCGTTTCGAGGAAAGGGAGACGGCTCCTTGGCCCCTGGAGCATTTGCTTCCTGCTTCATGTGAGGGCAGTCTGCTTGGAGAGCCCTGCTCAGGCCCTTTGTGGTGTCTGATCCTGTTCTCCTTTTAAATTAGAGAATGGTTTTTCTCTTTTTTCCTTTTTTCCCCCTTCTACTCCCTTTGCTCATAGGGAGATATTAATATGTTTCATAATGGGTAGCTGTGGGGGGTTTTATGCTGTGAGAGGCAACATGGTGTGTTAGAATGTTCTGGAAGAGAAGTATAAAGGACCTCCCCCCCCATCATTAACTCCTCTGTGACTTTGAAAATCCCCCTCTTCTGTGATGATCTCTTTCCAGTAATACTGTGAGATGCTATGCCTAGGATTCAGTCACCATTAAAAAAATGTATTTTCTAAACCAGAGTTGTCATTTTTCCCTCCTATTTAGTGTTGGTTTGGTTTTGTTTTGTTTTTTTTAATTAGCAAATATTGATCATTTGTTAGCTTTCACCTTATGGAAAACTCTCCAGGAGAAATAAGCTGCTTTTCTTTCATGGAGAAGGATGAACACAAAAGAAATTCTATAAATGGGATTTTACAGTGTGGAAAAAGTTGATTTCTAAATTTCCCATGTGATGTCAGTAGTTGTTGAGAGGAAATGGGGATGATAATTTCAGATCTTTCTATACATGGGCTCCTAATGAACTTGAATGATTTGTGACTATCTCCTATCATATGTGCCCAAATCCCTTTGATTCTGGGGGGAAAAAACCAAAGAAGAAAAAACATTTCTTCAAAATGGCTCTGTGTCATGGAGGAAGGCTGGGAGCTGTCCTTTACTACTTCTCCATATGTGCCAGGCACTGAGCTAGTCCTTAAAATGGCTTTGAATGGTGAGTAGTCTTATCTTCATTGTACAAATAAAAAAAGAACCTCAGTGACTTGTTCAAGGTCACACAGCAAAGTCAAGATTCAAACTCCTGTGCATTTGTCTCCGAGCTCTTTTTGTCCCATGCACCTCTCCAGACAATCCTTTGTCAAGAATTGTCCTGGCTTGGGGAGCCTGGGTGGCTCAGTGGGTTAAAGCCTCTGCCTCATGCTCAGGTCATGATCCCAGCGTCCTGGGATCGAGCCCCGCATCGGGCTCTCTGCTCCGCAGATAGCCTGCTTCCCTCTCTCTCTCTCTGCCTGCCTCTCTGCCTACTTGTGATCTCTGTCTGTGAAATAAATAAATAAAATCTTTAAAAAAAAAAAAAAAAAAAGAATTGTCCTGGCTTCTCCTGTTACCGTATTGCTTGGACTACTCTTCCACGGAAGAATTTATCCCTCCACTCCTGAGTCATTTCAGGAATTTCATCCCAGGGCATAAGGGGAAATGGTTCAAATGATTAAGAGCTACCAAGGCTTCACGTTTTTTACCCCAGTCTCTGAGGTCACTTCCACCCTCCAAGAGTGGCATCCAAGACAGGTTCAGCTCTGCACTACTCACTGGGCTCAGAATCCCACCTACTCATAATGGGCACAAAATTCATTCTGTAGTGATCGATGGATAGATGCAAAATTCATTCTAAACATGTTGTTACAAGGAGGCACTCCCTGTTTGGGTCAACTGAGAATATTTGGTGACCATGGGGACAAACCAAGGAGACTCTGTCCCCAAAAGACCCTGGTTGTCTTCCCCAGCCTTATATCCCAAAGTTCCCCCCCACAGGGCCTCTCTAGAGGCTCCCACTTTCCCAGGCCCACTGAGACTTTGCCTTGAATCCTGAGTTCTTCCTATGGCCCTGGGCTGGGTCATTTCACGACTTCTCCCTGAAGCTCCTTAGTCCACGACTCTCTCCTCCAGGGTAGGACTGGATGTGAAGCCCAGCTGTGTGATCTTGGGCAAGTCACGTCCCTGCTCTTCTGTCTCATCTTACCTGTCATTGAAATGGGACTAAGAATACTTCCATCACAGGGTGGTTATGAAGATCCAGGGAGTCAATGGGCAGGAGACGGCCTGGCCTATGGATGGGTACCCAAGAAATGCCTACAGAAGCAAAATTCTTTTAAAGCATCTCCTGTCTCCTGCAGCCAGCATGGGTTTCCCCCCTTCCCCTGTCCAGGCACCAGATGTAGCAACCAAACGTGATTTTGGGCATCATTAGGGAGGATGAGTTACCTTGGAACAGGGATAAGTGGAGAATTCTCTTTGGTAAATTATGGCTCCTGCTAAAGGTTTCACACTTCTATTTTCTACCTGTCAGAAAAAAATAACTATATACCAGTGGTCAGTTTGGTTTCCCTTTTTATACTCCATTAACCCACAGAGCAAGCCAGGCAGAGCTCCTGTCCCATGGGGGAGCAGGTAGTCCGGAGGACACCGATATGATAATTAGGGGAACTCAGTGGCTCTTCCTAATGAAGCTTTGAAAAATGAGCAGTGTGGGTTGTTCACACACCCTGGGAGAAGCTGGAGCATCATCTCCAGCAGAACCCAATAGAGATAGCCATCTTGGTGACAGGCGACGTGAAAAGCTCTGCGTCCATTGACATGTTGTTACCAGGGCTCAGTAACTGTGCGCTGATGTGTTTGAAGTCCGCCACTGGTGACTTGTGATTGAAATACGGAACAGGAGTCCGGGAGGGAGCGGGAGGTGAATTGATGGCCTGGGAAATACTGGTGGGAAAGAAAGGAAGGAAGAGGGAGGGAGGGAGGGAGGGAGGGAGCGAGCAGGTGTGCTGGCATACACGGAACCCCAGTGTCATCTGGGCACCCTGCCGGGCACACGTCCAGCCACCACGGTCAGGGGTGTTCATGGGTTTGGAGAGGGGCTTCGGGGTGCCCAAATCCTGCTTGCCAATCAGCCCCTCTCCTGTGGGGTTCCTAAGGGAGCTATTCACACAAGGGCTGATGACAAATGGGAAATCAAAGAACCACTTTATCATTAGCTGGGGCAGTGGATGAGGACCTGTTCGGAGAGTTAAAAGCATCACTGAATGTAGTGCAGGCAGACAGCTGGCCCAGAGGTCTAGCTTTGGGATTCCCAGGGCAAACCCAGCCTTTGTTGGGACTTGCTTCCCAGCATGACCCTGTTCAGAAAGGTGGTGCGTCTGGACAAGGCAAGGGCTCCCTTTAGTCTGGACAGAGAACCTGGGCTTGCATACCCAGTCAGTCTGACCGGCGAGCACCAAATCTCCAGAATGGACAGGGCCACTTGCTGAAAGCGCAGCCCCAAGCAGCCTCTGAAAGGCCCACGTTCGAGCCCTGGAAGAGGAATTGGGAAAGGAGGGGGAGAGAGGGAGGAAAAGCAACAACCGTGGGCCCCCGGGTACTAGGCACATGCTGGGTTCTTGGCGTGTGCTGCCTCATCTCATCTCCAGCCCCCATGCGGGGAGATAGTCTTCTCTTCTTTTTAGGTATCAGCAAATAGAGGCATCGAAGGTTTAAGTAAATGCTCACAGTCACACAGCTAGAAAAAGCCAGAGCCAGCATTTCAATCCTGGTCTGTCTGATGCCCAAATCACGCTCTTTTCAGTGTGCCAGACTGCCTCTCCACATCTCCAGACCTGAAAAACACAAACCACAAAAAACAAAGTGAAATAAAACCAAGAGGGGAGGAGGAAGATTGCAAACATGCCTCTGTGCTTAGACAGGGAGCTGATGTGGGACTGAAAACCTGGTTATCTGAGCCTCTCTGCACTGGAGGAAATAAACTAGGGGAACTTCTGAACTCTGAGGCCAGCCTGTCCCTGCCCCTGCCATTTCCAGATGACTCGCCAAAGTCAGGAATGAGCGCAGAGGGGCCCCGCAGCACGGTGCCTCAGCCCATGCAACGGGTGTAAGCTAGCCGCGCTCGTCTGCACTGGGAGTCTTGGGCTCGCTGTGGCTGTTCATGGCCCGTGTGACATCTCAGAGGACAGGTTTAGACAGGAGCAGTGCAGGAACCTCGAGTCCCTGCCTGTAGGTTTGGGCCCAGGGACTCATCTGGTGAACATTCCAGCGGGGAATCACTTCTGGATGGCAGCGATGTCTTCTGTCTGAACTCATGACATGGCTGTTTTCTTTGGGTCCCCCAGCGAGCCATTGTCACCCGACAGACACTGGTAAGAGAGCAGAGCACCCAGGTCCGGCTTTTCTTTCTCCTCCTAGAGACTCACGGATGCAGAGGTAAAGACAGGCATAGGACAATTTCTAAAACATGGGATTCTCATTCCCCCTGGAGCAGGCAGAGACCTCCACCGGGAGGTGTTAGAAGAGGCCAAACACAGCACTGTTTTGTAAGGATGGAACCTGAGGCTCAGGAACAGGAGATGGATTCTCCAGGGCCATCAGCTTCCAAGTGGCAGAGCCAGATTCAACTCAAGACGTGCTGTCTTCAAGTCCTTGCTCTTTCCAGCCTTTTAGAATTGACCAAATGACAGAAACCCACATGATCTAACCTTCGATTACATTTTTGGCCTTCTTTCCCACCACCCCAGCCGTATGCCCATCACTAATTCCAGCTGTGGGAAGGCGGGGCCTCCAGGCAGGACCCCCAGCCCAGGGAAGGCGGGGAGGCAAACGGAAGAGGCCACGCCCCTTCTAGCAGTAATATGTCCCCTCCCGTCTTTGGCAGGAACTGCAAACTCAGCAGCAGCAGCTTGTCCATGGCAGCCGTGGACATCCTCTACATTGACATCACAAGGAGGTGGAACTCCATGACGCTGGACCAGCGAGACTCGGGTAGGCACCTGAGGACTGGCCTCCGCCCTGTCTAGTGGGAGTCTAGAGGGTGGGCGGGACCCTTTGGGTTTTTTCTTGTTCAAGGTCAAGTTGGGGAAAGAGGAGGGTTACCCTATCAGCTCTAGACATCGCTAGAGGGATTGAGCTGAACTTGAATTCAGGAGCCTAAATTCTTCTACCAAGGCTGTGCCCACTCAAATTTGAATGCCACCATTAGAATTCCTTGTTTCTGCTTAAGGCTTTGATTATACTCGCTTAATCGTTCATGTGCTCATCCCTTGGCACACATGTGCTAGTGTGTGCTGGGCCAGGCCCGAGATAGATGGGAGCGAGGAGCACTTGGCGCTCACTCACTGTAGACCAGGGAGGCAGAGGAGAGCCCAGCGCTGGCATGCCATGCTGTGTGCTGGCTTGGAGGGGGGCGCAGGGAGGGGAGCCCAGCGGAGGAGATCCTGTGGAGGGAGGCCTGAAGAAGACTTCTTGGAGAAGGGTGAGTGGGATAAGCCAGTGAACAGGGTAGCACAGACCCCTCTGGCAGGCGTGGTCTGGCCGAGACACAGACACAGGTGGAAGGCTCAGATAACCCCAAGAAACTTGGAGGGGCTGGAGCAGGAGGGGAAGGGAGAAGGGGCAGTGATGGGCTTGCTAGAGCCATCCAGGCCTTGAATCCACGTAGAAGAGTTTGCTCTTGATCCCCTAAATTATGGCGGGGTGGGTGTGGGGAGGGTGAAGGGTTCCGTTAGAAGGATCCACCTTGGGGTGAATGCATTTCTGATCTTCTTCCTCACACAGTGTTTTTCCAAAAAGGCATAATAACTGTACCTGACATTTGTATAGCTCATCATAAAATTACGCCGTGCTTCCGTGCATAGTCCTCATTAAACGTCCCCGTGAGCTAGTGCACTGGGTACCAGCATTTGAATTTCACAGACGGTAAACTGTAGCTCGGGCAACCGGGCACCCAGACTTCCCTCCCCTAGGCTGCCTCCTGGCCAAAGGGACACCAGGCAGGAGGGGGCGCCTCAGCGAGCAGCTTTCTCCTGTGATCTGGTGGGAAGGTCAAGAAATCAGAGCTTGGGAGACCCAGATTACCACTGACTGTGCCATTTTCTACCCATGTGAGCTTGGAAAGCCATTCTGCCTCCTGTCTCCGCTTCCTCTTCCGTAAATGGGGCCAACCGTACCTGCTCGCCAGGGGAGCCCTGCGGTCTCTGTGTCCGTGGGTAGGAATGTGGGAATGTGGACCCTTGCTGGCAATACAAAGCGGCTCATCTTATCAGTGGGCGGGGCTTGGGGAGAACCCCAGGGGCGGGTCTGTGTGAGCGTGAGGGGCTCCCTGTCACATCCCGCCCCCCCCCCCCCCCCCCCCC